GAACCACCTTAAAAACAATGGAAAGGGATAGGTGTTACTACAGCCTTTATTACCACACCTCAGATCTCCTTTGCTGTAGCTACTCAGAAGCCCCGGACAGCTATGCCGTGCCACTGGGAACCTTGTGACCAGGGAGTCAGAGCAGCAGGATTTTATTCCCATGCAGTGCAAAAACATCCCTCATGGAGCCCTGAAATGCAGAATTGGAATGTGACATGATCTCCCAGCCTGCTTGCCCCTTCTCACTCAACCCCTGTCTGAGACTAAAGAAAGACGTGTCAGAAAATGATGACTGAAATTCCTACCATCTTTCTTCTGCTTTGCTTTGCCACAGATTTCTGCAGAGCCACTTTTAGGCATGCAATTAAAAACTATGCTAGCAGGTTTTTCTGACTGGGTCCAGATGTGTAAGAAGTGGTTCTAAACTCAGCTCTTGACTGAGTAGAGACATAGCTGCAGAATAACATAGACGCAGAATAACATAGACTATTATAGTTTAAGGTACAACGAGTAAAAAACGATTCCTATGAATTTACCCAGGCGCTAATATCACTCTTGAAAAACACTTGAGAGACTTTCTTCTACTTTAAAACACTGCTGTCGGCTCACTCTCCTTAATAAGGGCCATTATCTCTGAAATGTGTAAATGGAACCTACAAGTTGTATTAAGAAATAAATTCTATTTACTCCGACACTTTTTTTCTTTACATGATGCAAAAGCCTTTATTGCTTTGGTATGATTCCCTATCACTGGAGCTCTTTTCTGTTGACTGAGTGAATTAGAAATCAATGACCAGATTTTTTTATTCTTCCATTTATGTGCTAGTGATTTAGGCTGTTGTGTTCCCTTACAGTTAATGGGGTTTAGAAGCAGAAGACCCCTTCATCTCCCAAGAACTATTAACCCAAAGTCTTAGGCTAGAATTGCAAATATATACTATGTTACAGCAAACAAAATCTGTTTAGAAACTCTGTATCATCATTTACATCCAATCCCAAATCACATGGGTTGCAAATACTAATAAAGCAGGAAAAAAATAAAACAAAAGTAGAGGAAAAAGCAGCTAGCCTACACAGAGTGCAGTATTGACTGGCATGTTGTAAAAAGAAAAAAAAAAACAACCACACCACGTAAGTTTCTAAATGACACAGTTCATTCCAACCCATTTAACCTACACAAAATGCCAGATACACATGAACAGCAGGATTTTCAAACAACACAGACAGCTCTGCCAGCAAGTCTCAGGAAATCACACAGTATCTGTCTCAATAGAGTTGGTCTCACAGCAATACAAATTTCAGAAGGTAAAACAAAAATGAAGTAAGATTGCACTGCTAAACATTTTCAGTCTGGTTTCCTTTACCCTGGTCTTTTTAGCAAACTTATTTACTATATATATATATTTATTTTTTAACTACTCTGGTGCTATTTCTTTGATTCCAGCACTAAAATTTACCACAGGTGGATAATGTATTTCTTCAAAATCCCACATGACTTTATCAAGCCTCTGTACTGCCTCATCAGTCTTCCAACACATTGCTGGGCTGCAAGATGAAAGACTTACTTTGCTCTTTTAAGAACAAGTGCACTCAAGAAGACTCAGAAGAATTAACTGCCTAGCCAACCTCCATTAACAAGCTTAAAATTTTTTCTTTGTATAGTCTACAGTTATGAATGTATATAGGTTATCAAAACACAGAAAACCCATTTGCAAATATTCCACTTACATTATGAAACATTTTCTGTAACTGTAGCTAAAGAAATGAATTAACTATGTCTAAAGCCTAAGGGTAAAAGAAGTGTAGTCTTTTTCCTTAAAAGTACTTTAACTGCAACAAGTAATACTGAATTATAGATAATGCTGCTGAGAAATAGTCACGAGAAATTTTATAATAAAATCCCTGAATTTAAAGTTCTGCCTATTCAAATAAATACAAGTCAAATTTTAAAATGGATTTGCTTAATCCTATTCTAATTTCCTGATACAACTGTGCTCTGGTTCCGTTAAAGTTTACAGCTAGGATTAATTTAGTCAATGACACTTCATATGTATTCAGGCACACCCACTTTGTAACACTGTATTTGATTACGTCTAACCACTACTACCTTTACAGTGTTCAAGGGGTGTTGACATCTCTTATAACTTGTTAAAGAAAAATTAGTTCCAAGATATTCTGTAGCAAGCAAAGCAAGGGAAGTATGACTTAAAATACATGTTTAAACTGTGTCTCCATCCAGTCCTGCTACCACAGGATAAAAAAAAGTTTGAGTGTTACAGCAGAAAGAACAAGACTAGTGTAACCAACTTCTTTCTCTCTCATTAATGCTAGAAAATAGGATACACTTGGGTCCATGGCTCCCAGCACCCTAGGATAATGGGCTCCCAGCAGCTTTGTGCTTTACTATCTTTAATGTTACCAGGTAACATCTCCTATAAGGCTTGCTAATGTTGATACACTTACTCCAGATAAAGCACAGCACAAAGAACAAAAGGAAACCTTTCTTTGAAAGGCCTTGAGAAAGCCATATATTTAAATTATGTCAGAGAACCCTTCTGTGGCACCAGTTACTTGAAAGTCACGCTTCCCTCCAGAACAAGCCTCAGTGAAAGGAAACGTAGACAGAGCTCAGGATACACATCTCAAACTATGGCACACAGAAATATTCCTCCATCCAGTCTTTAGATAACAAAGGCAACATCCCCTCATCTTGCATTTTGAGCCAAGACATACACATTGATTGGGTGGAAGAAGCTATGTAAGTTAGGGGAAAAAAAGAAAATAACATGAAAGAATCAAATCTTTATTATTAACGAAGAATAAGGTGTTATCATAGCTTAAGGTTGCATATGACAAAACAATCTTCAGTTAATGCGACGTCCATCACGTACTGAGAGAATCAAAATTAAAACATAATAATTGTTCATATTTTTTTTCTTTAAAACCATTTGTAGAATTGCAATTTGCAACATGCTCAAAGATCAAGTTCCACACAGGCCCAGCAGGCTCTGTCACTCAGGGTCTGGAATGAGAGCAGTCAGGGGACACTGGGGTCAAATGAACTCCTAATATCAGGTGAGGAAATAGGATTTGGTAGAACCTGCAATATCTTTTAAGTGGTGTTTATTAAAAAAACATTTAAAAAACAACTCAGGGTGTCTGATAAAAGAAACTAGAATAAGCATGGTGTTCCCACATACTTCAAGTCTTCATCTATCCAGCAGAGTTTCTGTTTCTAGAATGAATATTATATTAAGAATATAACCTACCACAAGAGAATGGCAAAAAAATGGCAGTATCAGAATAAGATACATTGGCAGTGAAAGGGTGGGGGAATAAGAAACACAATCTGTGCAGGGAGGGAGGAGGACAGAAGGGAAAACAGAAAACTAAAAAGCTAACCTTTATCGAGCAACATCCTTCTACCTGTTTAGAACAACTTTCTTCCATAAAACTTGACAAAGCTAGTGTGCCAATATAAAAAGCAAGTAGCTTTTTTAAATTCAACAAACCTATATAAAGCTGATATTTAATTACCTCCTCAATATCTGATAATTTTACATGTGCAATACCATATCTGTCCATTTTAGAACATAATCTTCCCAAGGGAAAAGCTGGTGTAATGCACTATGCAATTTTTCACCCTGAAAGTCATTAGTATAATAAAGTAAAAGTTAAAAAAAAAGTTGGAAAAAAGCTATGTTTACAGCCAAAATAAATAAGAAAACAATGAAAAGATTATGCTAATACTTCCCAAAATAAGGACACACTCAATGAAGGTCTTGAACACCGTCTTGAAAGTCAAACCAATTTTGAAATCATACACAAAAAAAATTTTAAAAGAAGCACCATTAAATCTTTGTGAGGACCCTGATAATTTGCTCTGTTTATCTGTTTTTCTCCATTTTAGATGCAGCACACATACTTTACCAGGAATCATTTCCAAAAAAGGCAAAAGTTAAACAATTCTGAAAATCACCTGCATAAAAAAATAAATGAAAGGAAACAAAGCATGTATAGTGCCAGGAAAAAAAAAAACAACAAAACAAAAAAACACAAAACTGATCTTGGGCAAAACTGATCCTAGGCTACAAAGCATACCTGAAAAAGCTAATCACAGAAATTCTAGAACAGGGAGATACTTAATTGAGGACTCCAGGCAGAAGAACTCTCACAAATCTTGCCAGAACAGTACCTCAGTTTTTCTGAAACAGTATTTCTTCTCCCCTTCCTCTTTCCTGCCTTTCTGTAGAGTCTTAAACCCATCCCTATATGAAAGTTGGCAGCTCCATTTCATAGGTCTGCATCCCCACCTAAATCCACCCTCATCCCCAGTTTGAGCTAAGACACAAAGCTTTATGAAGACACACAGACACACATTGCCTTTAGCTTATTCTGCTACGGGGACAGGAACATAACAGACTGGAAGGTTAACGGTGGGATTTGTAGGGCCATAAATAGTACCTCTCCCAAGATCTCACTGAGCTCACTCCCCATTCACCAGAGCACCCTATGCTGGATTCTAACTTGCATCAATTTAAGTAGTTCGTAAAGTAAGGAGAACCTAATTCTGCCACCTGAACTCACACTCACCTAATTCTCACACTGAACAGCAACTTATTCCTTATGTAGTTGGACAGATTTCAGAGGAATTATATTCAAAGATATGGACACACTCCAATATAAAGATGATAGAATTTGTCCTTCAGAAGATTATCATTTTCTACCTATCTACCTATTATTATCTACCTATCTTTATATCTCAAGTATCATTATTTTCTTTGTCTTTGTATTAGGAGTAAGGAAATGTATGAAATCTATATGGAAAGTGAAGTTAGATAGTTAGCATACCTAGTTAGCATACCTGTCTTTAATAGTTGGTGAAAATGAAGATAGATTTTTTAATTATTATTAATTAAAATGGAGAACTACCTAAAAAGGCTGGCAGTGCTGGTGTCAAAGACAGATTCAGAAAGCTAAATTTATTTGTAATTACTTACCCGCAAGCAGAGATAATATTTCCTCAGCTCTGCTTCCTTTGCCCATTAGCTTTAGCCAGTGCTTTGTATCTTCTTCTCAGGGACTGGCTGAAAGACAAATTTTGGCACAGTCACCCCAGATATAAAAAAAACAAAACAGAAATAAAATAAAAAGAAAGTTCTGTCTAGAAGTGTGAAGGCATGTAAGGAAGTATTGACAATTCATCTTATCTTACAAATGCATCAGAAGCATGATATATTTAGAAACATATCCCTAATGCACTTCATGAATGCTGGCCAGAGCTCTGGGGACATAAAACTGATAGTGACACAAGATGAAAGATAAAAAATGTCAAGGATCATGCAGAATTAATTTATCTTAAACTCTACCGTTACTACAATTTGCTAATACGGGTATATTGTTTTCCTCATTCAAATTAAAACATGGCTCCACAGTTTCCTTTCCGCCTCAGAAACATTCTCTTTAGACTTCTTTGCTTCAGCTTCATATTTAAACTGTTAGGGGTTTTTCTGGACCAAAAGTGCAAGCTACCAGAAAAGTCATAAGGATGCATAGCATCATATAAAATGAAAACACATTAGAAGTGGAAAATCGTATTCCCCCTCCCCTCATCACACAGTCAGAAAACTAAGCACATAGCCTACTTATAATCCACTTAATCTTTGCTGCTTTACACATCCATTGTAAACCACAGTTTTGCTTA